CAGGTCAGAAAATGAATTCTTCATATAAGATGTTAGATTACGCGTAGGAATGAGGAGACAATCGTCCTAAATATTCATTTTTCAATCTTTGAAGCTTATCCAAAGTGTTCAAGGTGTCTAATGCGTCAATGCTTTCCTGCCTTGCACCGTATTCTGTCTTACATTTGTGTGCGGTATTCTAAAAAAGCATCAAAATTGCAAAACAGGAAAGAAACGACTACTATCGCATGCCGTGAGTATTTGGTGAGGGATTAGCATGAAAACGTGTTTAGAAGTGCAAATGGTTTCAAAAACTAGAACTCCTTCAAACTAGTATTCTAATCTTTCACTGACAGAGGTCACATATGCACAGATTTTTGCTATAAGGCGACGTTGTAGTAACGCAAAATTCCGCAATTCTAGAGGCCGATGAAGCTCGAAATGGTCACATATTTGTGCTGCCTTCGTTGACAACGATAAAACTAGCAATACGATGGCGTACGCTCGTTGAGAAAACGGCAAAGGTCTTATAAACACGAGAAAACACTAATTAATGGTCTAAATTATTTCTATCACTAGAGTCTGAAGGTGGATGTACACAACTGGAAATAACTAGATAAATTGAATATTTGAGCATTTTTGACCTCGATGAGGGTGAGTCTGACAATAGGTATGGCATTTGAGATTTCTCTTTCTGCTACAACAGAGTATTCTCGAACATTATTGCGTGTTTTTAAACGAAACCCACCTATACGATTGCTTCGCCACCTTATCCCAATAGATGATGCGGGATACTTCCGCAAACTGACTTGAGTTTTAAAGAATTACATTAATTTGATATGTAGGCGAGAGTCAATGCAATCAAATTAAGCCAGTTTTTTTTAAGCATGAACGAAGGGAACCAATGGTGATCTATGAAAATTTCGAAGAACTTCCAAGAGCTCCTATAAAAAAGGTGTGATAATCAATGAAACTGTCAGAGAACAAAATTAGAAGAAAGAAGAGCAAACAAATAACAACGAAATCTTACGAATTGTATGATTCGAAATGATATCCCATTAGCTGGAGGTACACTGCTAGATAAGTCGATGTCTTGTTATTTTTTGCGAAAACTATAATGGACTTTTCGTAGGGACCTACAATGAAAACACAATACAGATAGGAAAACAAGTAGAAATGTTTTCGACCATGATATAGCTACACTTGCCTCCTTTACTCATGTGACGAAGATTCAGACCACTTTCGATCATTTTAAATCAGAGGCCCAAGTCTTTACCAAAATCTCCTTCGCAGTAAGGATATATAGGAAAACTTAGTACATCAGTCAGAATGTCGAGATCTGACGTATTGAGTAGTTTTAGGAATTACATAAAAAAGCAGAAAACTTGTTGCTCTCAGAGGGCAGCAATGACTGCGTAGACAATGGAAAAGTAATTGTTTCAATAACGACTGTTCAAATTTGGTCGATATAGCTCTTCAGGGCTTCGACGTACTTCTTTTTCTTAGGTGGACTGGGTAATCCGTGTGTTATTCAGTGCAGTGTCATTTTGTAGATGGCGTGTGAACAACGCACATATAACCTTACGTCGAAGCTCTGTAGAAGGCATAAACCCAGGAATATCAGTCACCAAGTTGGAAAAAAAGATATGTTAATAGCGCTCAAGCTCAAATAAGTACACTTTGTGGGATACTTTTCATTACATACCGAAGTCAAGTGAAAATTCGTCATTTGGAGCTATCGTCAAATAATTTTTCCTACGTAACATCATACCTAATGAGCGAAACAAAAACGCAACTCAACTACCCTCTGTGTAATGTATCCTTTAAAAGCGGCAACCTTTGTCAAAATAGGGACTGCATGTCTGGAAAACCTCATAATAAGCTCTAAAACATAGTGTATGTTTTGAAAGCGGATATATGAAAAAATGCATTCGTTTGAACATTCTTCACAGTCACATTACATTTTTGATGGTTCGACCTAACCCTTTGGGTATCGCACACATCCATTTTGACGCACTGATGACCTCATCACGTGTCCGCGAAACAGAATGTATTAGCGCGGTTAACGTATCGACGTGTTCGTGTTCTTTAAAACTAATGATCCAAGTCCACTGCTTATATTTGTTCGCCTTCGATGTCGTCTTCGTCTTTGCAGTGGTGCCGAGTCGAATGTTTCCTGGTGGGCACCGTCTCTCGGATAACACTGCGCATAGCGAATTCAAAGCTACTCGAAAGGGCGCAATTTACGTTATTCTTCTTTGTAGATTTCTTCTCCGTTTCATGTAAATCTTATACTTTACGTAGAGAAACTTAAAATACACTTCATCCTATCGTTTTTTAGTACAGGCTTTTACTTCCATACTACTTTGCCAAATAAATCCGTTATCAAACGTAAGCCTACGCTAGAGCTTAGTAGTGCCAAGAGTAGTGCAAGATGGTTTAATTGTCGACCGTCAATTTTCACTCCCACATCATCCCATTCTAATGTTCACATGACGTTTTGTAGGGTGGCAGTGAATAGTTTTGGCGAAATTGTATCGCCTTGTCGAACCCCTCACATACGTCAGTGGTGATATTGTTGTAGAATGGAGATATTTTGGTCGTGAAATCTTTATTAAGCTCACGAAGGATCATTATATACCGAGTAGGGACGCCCTGGTTATCCAGAGCCTCTATAACCGCTTCTGCTTCCACGGAATCAAAGGCTTTCTTCAGATCGATGAAAGTGAGACAGAGTGGTTGTTTGTACTCTCGTGAAACTTCAATGAGTCTTGTAATCGTGTGGATGTGGTCTATGGACTAAATCCTTTTCGGAACCCTGTTTGTTCGCACAGCTGTCCTTCGTCCGGTGTTCTGTCAATTCTGTTCAGGATGACTCGAGTAGAGAGTTTATAGACAACGGACAGCAAGCAGATTGGGCGATAATTGCCTATATCTGCAAGGTGTCCCTTGTTGGACAACAATACGGTCTTGTTAGTTTTTCATTGAATAGGGACCTTGCATTCTGACAGGTAGCGAGTGAAGAGCCGAGCCAGGGCGTTGATGAGAACTGGTGGCAGATTTTTCACGTGTTCTGGTCTAATCCTGTTTGGACCGGGTGTTGTTCTGTTCTTCACCGACAATACAGCATGTCGGATCTCGGATGGGACGACCGTTGGAACGACATACTCGTTCTCTTTCAATTTATATGACGGTAAGAGGACATGGCTAGCGAAGAGATCTAAGTAGTATTGTTGGATGATTTTCTCCATAGCCCTTCTCAAAGCTGTAAGTATCACGTCAGGGTATCGGAGTGCAATCATCTTGGTCTTGTAGTCGGCGAAGCTTCGCTGGGCTTCGAGAATGCTCTTCCCAGCTTCTGCAGCTTCTGCCATAACTGCTGCTCTTCTCTCTTTGAGGTCTCCTTTTATTGCTTCTCGGCAGCGTTTCGCAAGTTCGGATGTGAGGTTTTGGTTGCCTGTAGCTCGTGCGATTCCACTTTGACTTATCAGCTCGAGTGCCTACGCAGACAAGCGTCTCTTCGTGACCTTAGGACTCTCGGCTTTCATAGCTAACGTGAAGATAATCAACGAGTCGATCTTATCTTCGTCGATGTTGTCGACAACGGTATCTTCCCAAAAGCCGACTAATGATTTGAATACATCCCAGTTTATGGTAGTTTCGACTTCGTCGTTAGAATTTAGCGGCTTTCTTTCCTCTCCTTGAAAAACGAAACGTGGCGCGAAGGAGGCGATGGTCTGACTCCGTGTAGAACTTAGGAAAGACAGCGACATTGGTCAGGCAAAACCTTCAGTTTACTAGGATGTGGTCTGTTTTGTTATGGTACTCTCCATTGGGAGAATACCACGTCCACCACTGAGAAAGAGGCTTTTGGAAATGCGAGTTATCATGGATGGTTTGGGTTGCCATGATAAACTCAGATAGCCTCTCACCCTGTCCATTTTATTCTTGTCCGTGGAACCGTGTGACGTTCTTCATTCGTTCTTCTACGTCCAATTTTTGCGTTAAAACCTCCGACAATGGCCTTGAAGAATGTAAGATCTTCTTTGAAGAATTTTTCGCAGGTCCATAAAAAGCTTCGACTTCGTCTTCGTCATAGCTTGATGTTGGTGCGTAAGCAACGAAGATGGTCAAAGCCAACATAGAACCACATCGTTTCAACTCAGTGTCCGATACGGGCTGTGAGTTGTTCAAACGAATCGATGTTTACGGTCAAATTCGATTTGACAGGACCCAACGCCGCCGACACCTCTGCTATCGCGTGTTATAAGGAACAGTTCTTCTCCGGTGTCATAAACAGCGTGAAAAGCATGGCGCCTTCTCGTCTCAGCCAGGCCACTGACGTCGTACCTTATTCTTCTTGCTTGAATCAATAGATCTTCTACAGCGGATTCGTGAGCAAGGGTTCTTGCATTGTAGGTACAGATCGTCATTTTAGTCCGTTTCGATCTTGGCAGTCTAGTTTGGCTCTGAGATTTTAGCAGCCTCTCCGTACTCATCCTACCTGGCACTGCCGTACCAGGGGCTCTTTCGGGGTCAGGGGAATGAGGCCCATATTTGTTGCTGTTTTTGGCATTTTGATACCCAACGTATAGCTTGCCAGGCTCTAAACGTGGGGGCTGGGTACTCACGAGTGGCTTGCTGGTTTCTCTCGCAGGAGCGGGAGGAGCTTATTTGTTGGAGGCGACTCCCAACAGCCTCCCATGTACTTCCCAGCCTCTTGATTGCAGGCTTTTGGCCAATTTTTTGTCAAGTTGGCGCTGTAGAAGCAAGGAAGCTTATCCCCTGAATCCACCTGCATCTCTGGGAAGCACACGGTCGCATTTGGTTTGCGTTTATTCCCCTTCCCACCACCTGGGGACGCGCCACGTGCATTCGCAACTAACCGGGTGGGATTCCTCAAAGAGGGAGGTCCGTGGGTGTGCATGGACATGTATGCATACATCTAAAAGTTCACGTATATAATAATGTACAGCTATATACGTACATATCCAAGAGCTTTAATGGTATGCAAAACATTCGACATCAAGCGAGAATCGAACCGACGTTTCACCCATATCAGGGATGTGCACTGCCGCTGCACTACCGATGCCTCCGCTATGCTACTACTTCCAAGAAAAAAAAAAGAATTCATTCAGACCGAGCATTTTGCAGCAACTTTCAGCATAATTGGGTTTTGGTGCCAAATACGATGGTTTATATCGATGGAGAAGTCCCACCAGAGAGGTGGTATCGCTGATGTAGTTGTAGTACGTGCCCTCCACATGGGGGAAATGCGATTTCAACTCCCGCCTGATTAGTGCTTTGCATACTATTCAATGCTCTTAGATTTATATATACATACATGTGTATGTATTTATGTACGTATGTTAAACATATATACACTCACATATATGTGTGTAACAAAATGATGTTTTCTGTTACAGCTAGATCTGACGAAGCTCAAGATGCTTGTCATTGATGAGCTTGATATAATGACTATTGAACGTCTTGCATTTTGATCCACCCTTGACAAAATTTTGGCGAAGATTCCTAGAGATACGACGGCACACTGCTCAAGGCATTGATTGACTATCGTGTCCGTTGAAGTATTTGGTATCTTGTTTTAGATCGCCACGTTTTCAGCGGTGTGCGGCGGTGAAAACAGTGTGCCCGTGCTTAACCGGTTACAGGTGAGGTTCCTCACGTTGGTGTCAATATCTGTTTAATGTATTTCACATTGCTCATAACAGTGAAGTGAGCATGAATAATAAACGGCTCATATCCATTACTACAATGGGCGTTAAGATTCATTTTGAGGATTATTTTAACTGCTGTTATTTTCTTTGCCACTCATACGACTTGTTTAGTACTTTCCTAGTGCTCTGTGTACGCCTTGGAGAGTTCCCAAGGGAAATGTTCACCTGGCATAATATGAAATTTCAGAATCGAAGTGGTTAGAGGTGTTCTGCAGCACACATGCAATCGACAGTTCACTTTGCGAGCCCCGAAACTTCACAAGATGTCAATGTGCAGTCAGGCACTCCAAACGATGCTTGATAAAGTCGAGTACATGGCGTATCCCTCAGGAGTTGTTCAGCATCAAGAGTTTTTCCTTCATCCCTCTGTAGTCGAGAAAAATCTGCCTTGTACTTTTCACCACTTAGATAAACTGTAAGACGTTGGCCGGTCTCATTGATTCAGCTGCGAATCTTTGTTAACTCTACAAAGAGGCTATTGCTAACGAAATGTTATATCATGATTATAGACTGGAGCTGAATATTTCAGAGTATTTAGCTGTTGTATGATGAGATATCATTGAGATTAGGTCTATATTATACTATATAGATGATTGAAGTATGTAATTAATCAAGCATTCACGACGTTACATCGATCCATCAACATACGGGTGCAATTCTCTAATCTCAGTCCATTTCTCAGCTTCTTTCAGAAAATTCTCTTTGCGCTC